CCTCTCTCTTCCCCTCTCCCACCTCCTTTTCCCAGTCTCCCTGAGTGTTGTTCAATAAAGAGAGTTTCTATTTTTGAACACACGTGTCCTTTAATTTGTACATCAGGAAGGGGGACTAGGGCGGGGAAGTGGAAGGGGGTGAGGGAGGAATGGGGTACGAGCCCCCAGTGGGGAGGACTGGGGTGGCTCTGCGGGCTCCTCGGGGTGGAAGCTCTCCTGCAGCCCCCCGATTGACCCCCCCCGGATGGCAGCCTGAGGCAAGTGCAGCCATGCTGATAGCCGAGTGCTGTGATGTGCCCAGTGTGGGCACTCAAGGCACTCCAAGCCAGGACTGCTTCGCAAGCGGGGAACCCCTGAGAACTGTCTGTCCGGGGTGGGGGTCGGGTCCCTTTAAGCACAGCCCTCGGCTAGCCTGAGACAGCAGCGCCACACTCTAAGTCCTACTCTGATGCCCTGCCGGCACTGCTTCCGGCCATCCTTAACCTCGGTTCAGGGTCCACTCAATGTGGACATGCTAGTTCGAATTAGCAAAATGCTAATTCGAACTAGTTTTTATGTCTAGATGCACTAATTCGAATTAGGTTAGTTCGAATTAACTAATTCGAATTAAGTTAGTTCGAATTAGTGCTGTAGTGTAGACATACCCCCAGGGGTTAACTCAGGTACCTAGCAAAGGTGTCAGCCAGGGGGCCGGGAGAGCCAATTGAGACAGAGGCTTGGAATTTGAATTGGATATAGATTCCTTGCCGGTTTTCTTTGTGTGGGAGAGTTAGCATCAGGGGTTGAGAGACACAAAATGATTTAACCCGGGCAAGACTACCCCTCCTGCCAAGAAATTCAGAGAAGGGGAGCGGACTGAACAAAGAGAAAATTAGACGTGACTACCAGGGAAATACAAGTCCAATTGTGCTCAGGGTCATTTTTCTTTATTTTGTGGTTTGGTTTGAACTACTCTGTGATTCTCTGCCTCCCCTCTGCCCTCACCATCTAAGCATTGTGCCGTGATGTGTCTCTGTTTTCATTTGTTTTCCTCAGTTGCTCTGTAACATCTAGGAACCGAGTCTGCCTTATCAACTTGATCTTTTTTTTGTAATACAAATCACTTCTTTTCAGGTGAGGGTTTGGTTCCTGTGTCCTGGCAGGTTTGCCTGTGGGTGTCTGCAGGCCTCTGAGTGAGGGGTCGGCTACCTGAGACGGCAGCTTGCTTTTCTCTTTTCTTTTTTCAAGCTCTTTTGGGGCAAAAGAGCTTGGGGTACCCTGGGGGTGATTCCAAGTGTTCACCCCCTCTGTTTTTAGGGGATCAAAGCACTTGATGGTGGCAGCGAAATCCCCAGTATCTGGGTGTTAGGATTCTGGGGGGAAGTTGTACCCAGAGCCTGTGGAGGCGAGGTTTCGAAGCTCTCTTGTGGGCTCCCACCCTCTGCATTCGCAGTGCCAGAGTGGGGAACAGCCTTCACTTTCTAGAGGGGGAGCGGGCACAAAGAAACAAAGTGACGTGCCCAAGCACCAGCCGCTGTCATGTGCTATCGGGCCTGCCTCTGTACACCACTGCCATTGGGGTATCGCCATGCCAAGCAAACTCCACACGCAGCAACCCCCCCAAACAACGTACCTTCCATGTGACCTGGATGCTCTGCGAGGTCATTGGCTGCAAGGTGACATCCATCGGGGGCCCGTCCGGAGCTGAGGGGAAACAGAGACAAGTTTACAAAGTCCCTTGGAGTGAAACTCACTTTAAAGGAACAGCTCTGCAGTGGGGCAAACTTCACAGCAGGGGAAAACCAACAAAGGGCTAGAGAAAAGTAAATGCCCTTGGGTGCTACCATGTACGTCCCGCCCCCCTTCCCTACTACTGAAATAAAGTGTGCTGGAAAGAAAAGCCTTTCCCCCTTCCCAGCTCCGCGCTCTCATTTCCCACCGAGGAACGCAGCACTGCTGAGCGCACGAGGCCCCTCAGGGGAGAGGACAATGCACAGAGCACGCACTGTCCCCATCTCAGTGCCGGAGAACATTATCCAAAATGCTGGCTGCTTTGCTTCCCTGATACACGTTCGGCTGGGCCCACGTGCGGGTCCTAGCCAGCGAGGAAATCAACCCCCTAGGAGTGTCTGAGGAGGTTCTGCACAAGGGTCCCCACCACACACAGGGAAATGAGCCCAGGTGAAACACGCACAGAAAAACGGCTCCGCTCTAACAGCACAGCTTTCGTGCTCTGCTCAGAAACCCCTCTAGAGCCAGGTCAGGAGAAGGGGCAGCCCCCTTCAGCCCCCTTATTGCGGAACCGCTTGCTCAGGACCACGGAAAGCTCCCTGCTCCTCACTGCCAATAGGAAGACTGTGTCCAGACCAAGGCCAGCTCCATGGGGGCACAGCCCACACCTTGCCTGCTAATTGCTTCAGCGAAAGCCAGAGGGGAACAGTGACACAGGTCCTGCAATGATCCACTCCGGCCGCTCGCAACCTCTCCCCCGCACATGGCCTGACTTTCCCTCCCAGCACCGCAGGCTCTCTTCTGCGTCCCTCCTGGTCCTTCCCTCCTGCCAGAGTCAGCGCATGGAGTGGCGGGGAGGCCCGTGGAGCCGGAGAACGGCAGGCTGGCGGGAGGCGTGCACCCGGCAGAGGGAAATGCACCTGCTTCCTCTGTGCTGATGGTGAGCTCCTTGCTTGGCTCGCTGCGCCCGATCTTGTTGAAGGAGTACATGCGGATGCTGTAGACAGAGGCCGGGTGCAGGTCCACTATGTTCGCCTGGTTAATGGTGGGAGAGATGTTGCGGGTAGATTGCTTGAAATCCCAGGAATCTGGGGGGAAACAAATCCAGTGAAAGAGGACAAAAGTTCCCAGAAAGTGTCCTGGAGCGAATGGCTCTGCAGAGGCTCTGTCAGCCCCGCAGGCTAGGCTGCCTGATCGCTTTGGCTGACCTTTTGTCTGCCCTTCTCCCCCCCGCCACATCTTCCTGTCTCCTGCCTCCCTTCCCACTGAGCCGCACACGTGCCAAGGGCTCTGCACCAGGGCATCTCTGTGCCACCCAGGCAGGGCAGGGCGCCTGGAACCGCTGGGAGTGGCCGGGGCGCTGATGCTGGAGATGGAGCCGTGCTTGATAGCACCAGGACAGGTGTTAACCTGCGGGTGAGATGGCTCTGGCTCACAGACGGTGCCAGTCACTTACCCAGGCCCTCTTTTAGGGCCGTTTCACCAAGGCCCTGAGCCCTTCCCTCCCCACTGGCCTGCAGGGGAGCGGAGACACTTCAGTGATCCAGGAATTGCTCCGTGTCCTGCAAGATCAAGCTCTAAATGACTAAAATTATCCTAACGTGGAGGTGGAGTGTAGGGGGCTCTGTGTATGGCCTGGGTTTAATTCATGTGGAAGCAAAATTCACACAGAGCCAGACACACACACACAGCCAGACTCACACAAACACACATACACACACACACACTCAGAGCCAGACTCACACAAACACACATACACAGCCAGGCTCACACAAACACACACACACACACACACACAGCCAGACACACCCACACTCAGAGCCAGACACACACCCACACCCACACACACAGAGCCAGACACACACACACAACGCCACACACACACTTGTAATGAGGTGAGCACAAATTGAGATTTCTGTTCTATATCAGATTGTTCAGAAAATCATCTGTCGCTTATCTCCTGCAGAGACAGCGGGAGAACGAGGTGCTCTGGTGCAGGAAAGAGGCAGGATGGCAGATTCCCCAAAGACAACACCCGAAACACCCTCAGGAGGTCAGGGATCTGCATCTCCCGACCAAAGTCCATAGAGAAGTTGGATTCATGTTTAACAGAAATGATAAATCTGATGGGAAGGGTTTCCTGACGGCCCCTGGCCACAAGCCCCTTTTGCGAGAGGAGTCTTGCAGTTTGACAGCCCTGTTGCTGCAGGGAACCAAAGGGGCTAGTTTCGCTGGCCAGCCACGAGCGTGAAGTGCAAACGCCAAGATAAAACTCAGTGCGGAAATGGGGCTCAGATGTTTATGGTTCCGCCAGTTTGACACGGTGAACGGTAAAGTGGGGCCGGAAAACATACTCCCAATATCATCGACACGCCACAAAGCAGAAACACTTGCACAGGTCTGCAGTACTGTGTGCACAGGTCTGTTTGCTGAGCTCTGGTGGGGCCAAGGGCCTTACAACGATCCCGCTTTTCCCTGCTGCCCCAGAGGTGTGCGCGGAAACCAGGCCTGAACAGCCCTTCCCCTGCAGAGACTCCAGAACAGAAGCCACTGGGGAGAGGGCCGTGGCGAGGGTGAGGGTTACACTGGGCTACAAACACTGTTTCACAAGGCTGCTGTGCCTGCAGCTTCAGGTTGGGGATCACCACAGACGTGCCAGGCAGCGGCACCAACACGACTTGGGGATTGACAGAACCCGTCCTGGTTTCTCCCGGCAGCCTGCCCACTATGGGGCATTGACCCAGGCTGGATCGCAGCCAAGGGGCAGCATGGGAGCTCTGGTATAGGGCTTTTCCCAGCCGTGCTTGCCAGGCAACGGGCCCCGCAGGGGAGTTTCCGGTTGATTGCACCCGTGTGCTGCTAGGTGCTGGGACGTCTCTGAAAAGCCCCATTTCAGCCAGCGGGGACAGCCGGGCTGGGGACGATTATTTCATGGTGACTTTATGGCCTTTGTTGAGCTGGCCCACGTTTGAGGTGGCATGTTCTCCCCCCTTGCCTTTGTGCCACGCCCGGTATGGCTGTTTGCACATTTTGCCTCCTTTAACACTCCCTTTCAAATGCTCCCGCCTCACTAATTAACACTTCTCCTTGGTGCATAATTGGCTGGATAACCGTAGTCAGAGAGTTGTTGTTAATGGTGCTAAATCCTGCTGGAAAGGGATAACAAGTGGAGTGCCGCAAGGGTCTGTTTTGGGACCCGTACTGTTCAATATCTTCATCAATGATGTAGATATTGGGATAGAGAGTACGCTTATTAAGTTTGCAGATGATACCAAACTGGGTGGGGTTGCAACTTCTTTGGAGGATAGGGACATAATTCAAAATGACCTTAGCAAGTTAGAGAAATGGTCAGAGGTAAACAGGATGAAGTTTAATAAAGAGAAATGCAAAGTGCTCCACTTAGAAAGGAACAATCAGTTCCATACATACAAGACGGGAAGCGACTGTCTAGGAAGGAGCATGGCAGAAAGGGATCTAGGGGTCATAGTGGACCACAAGTTGAATATGAGTCAACAGTGTGATGCTGTTGCAAAAAAAGCAAATATGATTCTAGGTTGTATCAACAGGTGTGTGGTAAGCAAAACTCATGAAGTCATTCTGCCGCTCTACTCTGCACTAGTTAGGCCTCAGCTGGAGTACTGTGTCCAGTTCTGGGCGCCACATTTCAAGAAAGATGTGGAGAAATTGGAAAGGGTACAGAGAAGAGCAACAAGAATGATTAAAGGTCTAGAGAACATGACCTATGAAGCCAGGCTTCATGAACTGGGCTTGTTTAGTTTGGAAAAAAGAAGATTAAGGGGGGACATGATAGCGGTTTTCAAATATCTAAAAGGGTGTCACAAGGAGGAAGGAGAAAATTTGTTCCTCTTGGTTTCTGAGGACAGGACAAGGAGTAATGGGCTTAAAGTGCAGCAGGGGAGGTTTAGATTGGACATTAGGAAAAAATTCCTAACTGTCAGGGTGGTCAAATATTGGAATAAATTGCCAAGGGAGGTGGTGGAATCTCCCTCTCTGGAGATATTTAAGAACAGGTTAGATAGACATCTGTCAGGCTCTTGAGGTCCCTTCCAGTCCTATTATTCTATGATTCTATGATTCCACTGTTTAGATTTGTATCTTTGGACAATAACACCACACACGCATGCTTGCTTCTGTCTGATGATACCTGCAGAGTAGGGATGTGGGGGTAGGTCTACACAGCAGCGTTATTTTGGAATAACTGACATTATTTCGAAATAACATAGCGCACGTCTACACAGCAAGCAATTATTTTAAAATAACGTCGAGCTGGAGGACGTCTTTCTCCGACTCCTGTTATCCCCATTTCAAGAGGAGTAAGGGAAGTCGAAGGAAGAGTTTTCTTCTTGCCAAAAGCCGAGTTAAGCTATTTCATCTTCGGCTGCGCAATTGACATAGTTGAAGTTGCTTAATTCGACTTCTGCTCTGCTGCGTAGACATGTGTGCCGTAGTGGGGGTATCTTGCTGGTTGCTATGCTGGGCAGTGGGCTGTGGGTGATCTCCACTGGCTGCTGTCTGCAGCATGGCCCAGCAGGGCAGGGGGTGAGTCATTATGCAAAAAGGGTCTCTCAACCTGTCCGACCAGCTACCCCCCAGGGAGAGGAACAAAGGAAGGTGGAATGCTGCCCCTGGCTGGGGGCAGGGCTGGAAGGGATGGTCTTTAGTTGCTGTCTGGGAAGCAGGGGAGAAGGAGCTAGGGAGGGGGCTGGGAATGTAGAGCCCAGCCACCGCCCATCTCAAGGGGGGCACTGAGGCCTCCTTGCCCCAGTTCCTGTAACCAGATGACATCTGTGCTGTGCTGTATCCTGGAGGAGCAATAAACTCCCTCTGTTCTACTGGCTGGTGGAGTCTGTTCGTGCCATTATGGGGTTGCAGGTGACGGGAAAACCCCAACGCGCTGTCAAAACATGCCCTAAGAGTGTAACCAGGGAACCAGTTACACTGTCATAGGGCTGCCGGGGGCCGTGGCAGCCCCTGAAGGCCGCATGGAGGGGGCCGTGGTTAACCATGTCATCCACAGAAATTCTATCGGTTACAAGTGCACGATGGTTTGGAATCCCAGGGTGGGCGGAAGTGCAGTCACCTACCAGACTTATTCTTGTACTCGATATCAAACCCAGTAATGATGCTGTTCCCGTCAAATCTCTGAGTCCAGCGCAAGTTCATGCTTCGGGCTTTCACCTCACGAATCTCCAGCTCTGGAGGATCAGGGGGCTCTTGGGTTAGAAAAAGGGAGAGAAAAAGTTGCGGCTGAATGAAGAATCCATCCCAGTGCTGTGAACCATTTCACCCCGACGGGGACATTCTGCCCTTCCCCCGCAGAGTGTGAGTTCTCCTCATCCCCGTGGGGTCAGAATCCGAGGCTATAAACCCACAAGGGACCACAGCCATGAGCTCAGCCTGGCCTCCTACGATGCACAGGCCACAGGACTTCCAGCGTGAACTCCTGCTTGGACTGGGGCAGGACTTGTAGAAAAGCATCTCAACCAGACTGAACATTTTCCAGGGAAGGAGGCTCCACTGCTGGAGTCTCAGACTCCAGCTCTGGACACCACCCATTGGGAAAGAGGTGGACAAACGGGGGAGCGCCTTGAGGAGAGCAGCAAACATGAGAGGGTGAGAAAACTGGAGCTACGAGGGAAGGTTACAAAACTGGGGATGCGTGGCTGGGAGAACAAGCGACTGAGGCAGGACCTGGGCGTGGTGTTCGAATGCTACGCAGAGGAGAGTGGATCAGTTCATCTCCATGGCCACTGCAGGCAGGACGAGGACTCAAGGGCTTACAGGCGCAGCAAGGAAGATTTAGGTTCAATATTACGACAAGTGTTGCAACGCTAAGGCCGTGTCTACACTGCACTGTTCTTCTGGAAAAAGTTACGTCAATTGCCAACCGCAATGTGTAGCTTTTTCCATTTCTTTTGTTGGAAGAGGTGTTTCGACATCTGGCCCGTCTACACTGGGCCAAATGTCAGAAAAAACCCTTTTTTGGAACATCCCTTCTTCCTTGTAAAACAAGGGTTACAGGGATGCCAAAAAAGCATGTCTGCTCTTCTGAAAAAAAATTCAGCTGCGTTCCTTGGACACGACCCTCCAGCGTCCCAGAAAAACTCTGCAGTGTAGTCATAGCCTAAGGCAGTTAAGCTCTGGCAAGGGCTGCCGAGGCAGGTTGTGGCCTCCCCATCACCAGAGGTTTCTAAGAACTGGCTGGACAAACACCCATCAGGGATGGTCTGGGTGTGCTGGTACTGGCACACCATGGGGGAAGGACTAGCTGCCCTCCCAACCCTACACGTCTAGGATTCTACCGGGCCGGAGGAAGCGAGTACCTTGGACAGTGAGCTGGATCAAGCCTCTGTCTTCGCCGTAGGAGTTGATCGCATGGCAGGAGAAAAAGACAGAGTCCCCCCGGTCGGCCGGTTTGAGCTGCGGATACGTAAGAGGCAAAAGAGAGGCCGTTTCAGAACGTGGCTGCCAGAGTGACAGGGAGGGCAGGAGACGTCAGTGCTGGTTACTCGCTGGGACTGTCCAGCTGGGGAGATGCACTAAGCAGAACACACATTCTTCCCTCGGTCACGCTGACAGCCAGCGCGCTCCATCCACGCCTTACAGAGCCTGCGCTCGAAAGCCAGGTGCTTCTCCTGCCCCACGTGGGCGCTAATGTTGAGATGCTTTTATTCCCTCTGCTTTCCTGCAGTCTCTCCTCAGCTACATTCCCGTGAGGCCCAGGTTTGAACGGCATGCTGGCCAAACGAGCAAGCCAGTCGCCAATAAAACTCAACGACAGCCCTGCCCAGGGACAGACAGGCCAGGAGAGAAGGCCTAGAGCTACTTCTTCAGACAGCTGGCACCGAGGCGCTCGCAGGCACACGGCGCTTCCCCTCTGGAGCAGGCAGGAAAGTTCCCGTTTTCTTTGGACAAATCAAGGGAAAAGTTTCGTTTCCTTGAATGTTTTCCCTTTTTCAACAGGTCCACGTTTTATTGTTGCCAGTGAAAAACAGACATTTCTCAGTAGAAATGAAAACCATCGCCCAGCCGAGGGAAGATGTTTTTGCAGAGCAGGCGGGACAAAGCTGCACATGCGCAGCCAACCTGCTCCCGGCGTTCCACGCAGCCACTCCTGGCGCAGGCCGGCCGCGGGAGTAGCAAATGCCCAGGGGAGGATGGCTTCCCTTTGTGATTAAATGTAACCAAACCCTGCCGGTGTGTGAAATGCACCCAGCCCAGGTCCAGTTCCCCAGGCTCTCACCTTGAGCGTTGAGATGACCTCGTCCCCATTATCCTTGGTGGTGATGGCGTATCTCATGTTGCGGTCGGGGTCGATGACCGTGTCGCCTTTCTCCCAGCGAATGATGATTGGCCGCTCCCCTCGGGCCGTGCAGTTCAGCTCCTTCATCTGGCCCTTGATGGCGATGGTGGTGTTGGGATGGGAGGTGATCATGGCTGGGACTGAGAGGAGGGGAAGAAAGGAGTTTGGTTACGGAGGTTTCAGAGACACTTGCTACAGCGTGAGGCAGACCAGACCTCAGGGAACTTAGGTCACATCGACTCTGCCGCGATCCAGCTTAGTTTGATTTAGCGGGTCTAGCAAAGACCCGCTAAATCAAACTCCGGGGGCACCCTCATTGGCGGCCGGTATTCCTGCTCCCGTGGAAGCCGACAGGAAGATGTGCTCCCATTGGCCTCCTGCTGTGGGGATGGGGTAGGGGAAACTCAATTGAAGTACGTTGGCTCCAGCCACATAATTAACATTGCTGGAGTTGTGTATCTTGATTCGACCTTCCCCTTCGGTGTAGGCCTGGCTGCAGACTGCACGGTCCTGATGCTCACATCTACAGCAAATACACCAGGCCCAGGCTAAACCGCCTGCCTTCAAAGCTGATGTAGCTGAGGGCTAAGCTACCAGGACCCCCTGCTGCCTTTCAAAGGCTGCACTACTTGTCCCAGGGGCTCTCTAGAGCCATGTGCTCCTGTTCAGTTAGCCTGGGCAGCTCTGCTGCTGGAGAGGGCCCCCACCGTGGGGCTCTGAGGCTGAGCCTGGAACAGGTCTGTGACTTGATGCTGGCTTCCCCACCTCTGTAACCTGCACAGCAGCAGCTGATGTTGCTGGAGCAGCGAGCCCCATAGCAGCCAGCAATAATCAGCTCCCTGGCAAACACTGCTCCCTACCTCCAGGACCCAGCCAGGCATTGAAAGGGGCCTGGGAGGAAGGCTGGGCTAGTGGGCAGGACAGAGGCTGGGACTCAGGAGATGGGTTCTATGGCTGGAGAGATGCAATGGTGCATGCTGCCTGCCTTAGTGGGCACCAGAGAGGAGAAAATCCCATTCCCCACTGCAGGGCACAGAAGGACTTGGAGAACGGCACCACTCAGCCGGCTGCCCTCCCGCCATGCTAACCCTTAGGGAGCACTACGGCCGTGACGTGTGCAGCCACAGATGTCAGCCCCGCCACTCTGGCATGAAAGGCTGGTGAAACTGGAGTTCAGTGCGCCCGCGCCCGTGTTAACCGACACAGCGAGGAACTTCCTCACTACCCTCAACAAATCACCTCCGCACTTCCTTGAGCTCTAAGCACTGTCCCACCAGGCCAAGACTTTGCTCAGGCTGGGGATGTGCAGATGCATCCAGGGGTTAATTTCCACAGCTGCTCTTGCAGAATTAACCCCAGTTCTTCCATCCCCAGGCATGTGGGTAGGGCACAAACAGCTCCCTGAAAGTTTACCCCACGAACACTCTCTCTGAGGAGGCCAAATACAGTTTATCAGCACGGATCCAACCAACGGGTCATGCAGTCAGAAACAGAATCGTTTTGTTGCATTATACAGCTCAGGATCATAAAATAATGAAGCAGATAAATTTTATAATGCATAGCATTACACCGGCATATACAATAAAATGTGAAAGACAAATAACTAGGTGCAAGTTATAATGAAGAGAATGCCTCCAGTCTGAGACGCACGACTATGAATTATTGACTAAGGTTTTACACTCTCAAGGATGTGAGGAGGAATATTTTTCCATCAGAAATTTGCATAATTCACTCATCGAAACCTGGGCAGAATACAGAGTACGGTCTCACATCAACAAGTCAGGCTTTGCATTGCAGATGCCAGAGATTCTTTTCGTACCCACACAGAATACTGAAACAAAGCCCCAAAGAGGCATGCGCTTCATGGCTCCTCTTCCCTGGCCGAGAGGGCAGCTCTCCACCGGCCCCATGAAAGCACTGACTGAGCCTGTCGCTGGCATGACCCTCGATACGCAGGCGCGTGGGCAGGCGGGGCTCTGCCTCTCCAGGTGACCCAGAAAAGGTGAGAGCCCCGCACGGCCTGACGCAGGCTGGAGTCATCTCCCTGGGGGAGTCGTTCTAGCGTTGCCACCGAACCGTCATGTGAGCCATGATCCCTGGGCGAGTTTTCCAGGCACTGGAGCTGGCAGGTTCCCAGCCCCCTCACAAAGCCCTGGCCTCATGTCAGACTGGGGAAGGGCCGAGTCCCCTTGCTCTGACACATGCTAGTGCCGATGCGGCCTGACGCAGGCTGGAGTCATCTCCCTGGGGGAGTCGTTCTAGCGTTGCCACCGAACCGTCATGTGAGCCATGATCCCTGGGCGAGTTTTCCAGGCACTGGAGCTGGCAGGTTCCCAGCCCCCTCACAAAGCCCTGGCCTCATGTCAGACTGGGGAAGGGCCGAGTCCCCTTGCTCTGACACATGCTAGTGCCGATGGCGACCGGGCACGACAGCTCCCGTGACAGGCTGGTCACCGGGCTGACACCCGCGCCGGGCCCAGCGGGCTGGCAGGCGGTCCAGACGGGGGGTGCCCG